ATTTCCATATTGATGAATTATACATTCGGCTTTCTTGAGAAACGCTTCTTCGTCTCTGGCTCCCACCAATCCATGAGATTACCTTCCTTATTAAATTCTCTGCCTTGATCATCAAAGCCGTGGGTAATCTCATGGCCAATAACAAGACCAATGCCGCCATAGTTCATGTAACGTGGCCAATCATTGTTAAAATACACGCCTTGCAAAATACCCGCGGGCAATTCTACAAGATAAATAAAAGAATGATTCGGTACATAGTGACAAATATTATAAATGATATAATTTTATGGATTTTATTATTGAAGTATTGCTTATTATTCAATTCGCAAAAATAATCTAATCTAAAAAAATAATCTAATAAATTTATATCCTAGATTTTATAGCACAGAAAGTTAAAATAGAATTTTTAGTTGTATGTCATTAATTTTGAGTTAATTTCCAGATGAAAAAAGAATTTTTGTTGCATGTGAAAATGAATTCAAAATTGACATACGACTAAATAGACAAATACATTTTTTTTTAATTTTCTTTGTTATTTGGAATATTCATATGTGCTTTCACGGAATTGTATCTAATTACCAATACTGTTCTTGGTCAGAAAGGAAAACGCATTGTTGACAGCCGACGAGCCATAATTTATCCATTCTGTCTTATTCACTGGCTGTCTCAGTCTACTAAATGAGAAATTTGTTTTAAAGGTAGACAAGTTATAAATGTTTTCTAAATAATTATCAACACTAAATTCAAGTCCTTCGTAATAATTCTCAAGTTTTCTATCGTCTAACAATTCATTTGGATAGGCAACATGTAAAGTCATGGCGGCTACTTTTTCTAAAGCGCTTCTTCTAGTTTTTTCATCCATCCAATCCACCTAAAAACGCGTGAAATTTTGTATAAAATTTATTAACGTTTTAAAATATATATGATAAATATTTTTAGATTTAATATTTTTAACATAATATCTCTTAATAACAAATATAGATAATTAAAATGATTCTAAAATTATAATTTATTGATCAAAACACATGTAACATGATATTAATTTTTTAATTTTGTTTCTTTAATTTTAATTTATTTTAATTTTCAAATATAGAGAAAAATACTAAAAGAATGAAAATGAAAAATATTCTTTTTTTAAGATTCCAATTCTTATAGATTAGATGGATGTCGGAGATTTGATAAGACTTTGATTTTTTTATAATCTTAAATTAAAATTTTCATATGTTCTCTCACTTTCTTCAGGATCTTTGTAAACTCCTGTTTAATATTTTTCACCATTTCGAGTACGGTTTCCTTCGCGTCCTCTTTAAAATATTTCCGCACGT